GACTCTACATTCAGTTCTTGGCTCCTTACTTTAAAAAGGATATTGAAGTGATGGAGCACGTCCAGCGAAGGACAACAAGGCTCATGAAGGGCCTAGAAGACATGCCTTATGAGGAACAGCTGAAGGAGCTTGGTTTACTTAGTCTTGAGAAGAAGAGGCTCGGGGGGACCTCACTGCTCTCTGTAACTACCTGAAAAGAGGTGGTAGTGAGGTGGGGACTGGTCTCTTCTACCGTGCCTGCAATGAGAGGACTAGAGGAAATGGTCATAAGCTGAGACAGGGGAAATTCAGATTAGATATTAGAAAAAGTTTTTTCACTGTTAGAGTGGTCAGGCATTGGAATAGGCTGCCCAGGGAGGTGGTGGAATTACCATCCCTGAAGGTGTTTAAGAGGTGTTTGGATCTGCCACTGGGTGATATGGTTTAGTGATTTAGTGGTTACAGTAGAAGTGCTGGGTTTACAGTTGGACTTGATGATATTAAAGGTCTCTTCCAACCTTGGTGATTCTATGAGAGTAGCATAAGGAATGACTACACTGAGAATGAAGTGATTTATTATGTATTTAGCAATTCAACATTAGAATCCCAGCTACTGGGAAGAAGGTTAAAGTCCATTTTCCCTCCTCTCCCTGTGCAATGCAGAGGTACCAGCAGTACTACTGTAATAGCTAGAAACAAAGGTGTTATTTTTCTGCATAAAAGTAACCAAAATCAAAAATATCTCCAGGCTGTTGTAAACTAGCACATCCCTACTGAAACTCACAAAGGTCTTTGGATATATGCTGCTGCATTCTTCAATGTCCTCAGACACAACATCTAATCCTAGTGTTGAAAAGGGTTCTAGTGCTTTCTCTGTTCTTGAGAAATCAGGAAGCAACGGAAGCCACTTTGTGAAGTTTTAAGGGTTGTAGCTAGCAGATGGGAGTTCAAGTCCCACAGCTCTGCTTCCAAGTGCTAAAAGAAGTACACCCCACCATAACCACCAGTGCTCTTACCTCCCTAGAGAAACCATCAGGTTGAAAAGGAACTATGCAATCCTGAAGCCATGTGTTTTGAAATAAGGTCTCTAAGCTCTGCTGCCAAGAGGGAACTTCAATGGCTCTCACCTAATCTTAACTGATAAGTTTTGCAGAGCAGGTCTCAATTTTAGCAGAATTATTAGCAACCACTGGAGACTGGAAGGTGGACTATATACACTGTCCAAGCCCAGAGCTGAATAAGCCAAGCCTGAATAAAAGACTGTCTTCAGGATAGGATCCATGGAGCAAGGAAAACAGAACAGAGCAAGAGATTCAAGATACTTTTTCTGGCAGCAGCACCTATTAAAAGCATTATGCAAACAATCAACATATCCCTAAGAAACAGTTTCTTGCACGCTGATCACTGCTTAGGAAAAAGTGAAAACTGACCAAAGGCAGGCCTCATGTGATGAAAGACATCCCCACCCAGCAGCAGCCAAGGAGATCTGCTCCTAAATCAAACACACACTCAGCAGGAGCGCATGTATACACCAGCAGTGTGCAGGGGCAGCTGGCAACCCATCAGCAGCCAGGGAGTGAGAGCTCCTCTGTGCTTATGGGGACAGGGAGGCACAGAGTGGTGGGGAAGCACCACTTGCATCCAGCAGCACTCCTGGGAGACAGGCAGCTCTCTAGCAGCCAAAAGCAAAAGCCCTATCAGATATCCCTAAAGAGACCGAAGATGTTCCAGTCTGATTCATTTATGATGTTGTTAAAACTCTGAAGCGGGTTTGTTCTTGGGAGGCCTCTTCTGCAAGGAAATACTTTAGTGGTACCTTTGCCCAACAACAGCTTATTCAGAAAGCTTTCCTCAAAGCTTACAATAATAAATCACTAAAAGATTCTTTTTGTAAGCTGTGATTAAACCTAAATTGATATCTAATAGGTCGTGTAAAACGCAACACTGATTTCATAGATCTCTGAGACACACAAAGATTTTGCCACAGAGGACTTACTGCTCAATGAGACAACTTATCACACCCCCTTAAACCTGAGAAAACACTATAGGTCCACTGATTTGTTTCTCGTATATATTACTGCACAGAATCATTACATCATTAATACATACACGTCAAGTAAAAATATTTCAGTACAGTCATTGCATTAGTATTTTAGGTCCTTCTTAAACAGTTAAAGGAACCTGTATATGGCCTAACAACGACTGCCTCACACTGCTATGCTTACAAAGCAACCAGGCTGTCCTGACTAAGAAACCACATCTTGGAGAGATAGAAAGAGGAAAGGAGAAGCAAACCCTACCCTTCCACTCCATAGACAAATTCAGTATCTTGTCTGGTTTTCAGAGCAATGTATGATTCATGTTGCAACAGATACCTTGCTTCACAAAAAATGTGTCCTCCCCTGCTGTCCAAAAGACCTCCCTATACCTTGAAAGTATACATTCCATGCCCAAACCTCCAGAGGCCAGCCATCCTGCAGGACAGAACAGGCTCCCTAGGTAAGCGGTCACAGCACCAAAACTGACAGAGTTCAAGAGGAAGATAACTCTCAGGCACATGGTGTGACCCTTAGGGATGGTCCTGTGCAGGGGCTGACTTGGACTCAATGATCCTTGTGGGTACCTTCCAAACTCAGCATATTCCATGACAGAACACTGCCAGGCTTGGGGGAAAAAAAACCCTAACTAGACTTGCTTAAGCAGAAAATACACTACATTAGGGGCATCTGAGAAGAGCCTCAACTTAACCACCCCTTTGCAGCAGCCTTTGCGTTTCCATTCCCTTCAAACCAAGCGGGCTGAGATAGAGTGAAAATGAAAAGAGCCCACCTCCCTGCCCTCTAGAAAAGCCAGGTATTGCAAGAGGTGATGGATATTGTTTTGCCCACAAAGTCATTGTCAGTAACACACCAGTTGGGGCATTGGGGGTGAGAAGGTACCAGAGTTGTCACAGATGAAGTCCTACCAAGGTGTCCAACACCATGCCTAGCACCTCAGACTGTTTAAATCATCACAACCCTTGCCATTTAAGGAGAGGAATCACGATCAAATTACTGGGTATCTGGATATCTGTATGCTGCAGACTACAGCTCCTCAGGCATCTTCAGCCAACATCATGTCCCCTCTCACTACCTCTGTAAGACTGCTCTGGTAGCACTGTTGTGCCTTGTTGTGCCTAATTCCTGTGGGATATGGCTGTCAGTGTACTAATGGCAGAGGAGAGAGCTGTCATCTCAAGCAGTGTTTGACCTCTCCAGGCTGAAGCATCTTATTTAAGATTTAATTAAGAGGGTTGTGCACATCTGATCGTTCTTCTTACACATATAAGCATGTATAAAAACAGACAAGAAAAAAACATGAAATGATCCCAAACCTCAGTTTGCAAACAGTTGTGTGTGTATATAGATGAATTAAAAGCTTCCATAAAATAACTGGGAACGGAAAATCTTCTACAGAACACATTTCAGTTTCCATCTTGTGATCAAGAATTCTACAAAAAAAAAAAATCTCCTCTTTAAGCAAAGAAATCTTGAAACTCAGAAGGAGAAGAGACATGTTTGTTACACTCACACCCACTGCTGACAAAGAGGGCTATACTGAAAAATAGTCTGAGGTTTAGTTATTATGCATCTAAAATAAGTCTTCAAGTTTTTCTAACTTTTCAAAAAATAGAAGATATCAGAGCTTGTACTATCATCAAGAGAGATCCTGAACAACAATGCTGCTGAATAATTATCTATGAACTCCAGGTGGAATCCCAATCAGCATGCTCCTTAACTCCATATTAGACAGAAATTCAAGGAATCCTAATACTACAGCATGGCACAGATTTAAAAATTAGAAGGCTTGTTTTGTGTGGCTCTTCTATTTGGAAGGCTTACAAGACAGATGTTATCTGCTTTGATTAAGTTCCTTCTCACAACAGGCTTCCTGGAGGGATGCCTTGAAAGAAATACATATTCATGCATATCTCTTAGATTACTTGGAGTCCCTCACACGTTTTGGATATGCTTTGCAATATATTCCATCATTTCTCGCACAAAACAACACTCAAAGAGCAACTCAGGTTTAACTTGGACCTATTCGTTTTCAGTTATTAGCCTACTATTCCTTCATTTTGTCCCTTCTGCTGTTTCCAAGCCTCCTTGTTTGCTTCTCCCCAACCTTTCCCTTGAATGCTAAAATTTTAATAACTCTAGCATGTAAGGCTGAAGAAAAGTAAACAAACACAAACAGTTCTGAACTTAGGAAGGTACGTAGCTTAACACGGTGATGTTCCTCTTTTCCTTGGATGAAAACTGACAGACAAATAAATGGTTTGCTGCCAGTAAAGAATCTTATTGCTGGTAGATAGTATTTTATATACTGAGAATCTGAAAAAGACACCAGATATTGCTTCTAAATAAGCTAGCAGACTCTATAGCTTTTTCTGCTCTGCAGTGCCCAGTTCTTTAAGCACAGGCACTTTTTTTTCACTCGGGAGGCAATGTCCAGTCATTTCATGGCAAGTCAGGCTAAATGTACAAGCCAACCAGTGGAAGATGAATTTCCTGCCATTACAAATGGTATTAGAAATGTATTCCAATTGTGCCTTCTCTGCCTATTTTGTCCTTATTAATCATGTCAGTGTCAGAAATGCTGTACATTTATAGCGGGGAAAAAGTCTTCTCTATGTGCCATCAAAACCAGAATTCAATTAAGTACCATTCAGGCTACAACACAACTTTTGTAGTATAACACCCAAAGTAATTAGCATCTCAGTAACTGCCTATATCTTAAAATGCTTCATTAATGACATTTCTACATTTCCACTTGAAAATGCTTGTTCGGTGTAAGAAGCTGTTCAATTTAAAGAAGTAAATTGATATTTTGCTAAGATTAAGTCACTGTATTTATGGAGAACAGGTGTGGAAACTCCTGGGAGATTCTGAATGTACCAGAAAGAAAGAAAAAATAAAGTACTACAATAATTATGACACTTGGAGGAAATTGGAAGAGACAACAAAAGAAGTACTACTTACAAGCCTCGGAGACGAAGCCAGATTTTCTCTATTTGCTCTGGCTGTAGGTATTTCAGAGAGTTGCTCTCAAATTCTTCGATTTCCTTAGTCGGTGACTCCATAGCTGCAGGTTATCTCTTTGGTTCAAGCTCTGCGAGGACGGCTGCTGCCACTACGCATGCACAGGCTCCACCTTCAACACTGTCCGGGAGCCGCTAACATTTCTGGCAGACACTTTTCCCCCATCCCTGCAAATGAGGCTGCGTGGGCAACCCCCGAGCACTCAGGTGTACGCGGGGGGCAGCTGTGCCAACACGCAGCCATCCTCGGGCTGACCAAGAGAATCAAAGGCTCATCTCCGGATTGCAAACCCGCACGGATTTTTTTTTTCCCCTTGTTTTTTTTGTTTAGCTATTTCAATAAGCCAAGGATACAATCCATAATACCACCGAGGGATCTGTATCGAGGGAGGAGGGGAAGAAAATCCCTTGCTGACAAGTGAGCTGCCTGCAGTCGGGCAGCGGCAGGAGTACCCAAGGCTGCGGCGCTGCCGTACCGGGCTGCCTGAAGCCGTGACAGTGACAACACACAGCCCCTCCGCTCCAGCCTCTGCCAGATCAGCCTCGCCCTCCCCGCCCTAGCATTACTTCTTTCCCACTTAAAAACCAGCAGCGCTGCCGACAAGCTTAAAACCTGAAAACTGAGGAAAGCCTGCCTGTCAACATAGCCCAAGAACTGCTTTCCTCTCTGCCTCCCTCTTTGCCTCCTTCTCTCCTGTGCTCTGATTAAAAACCCAAGCAAGCCAAAGCATTAAATTAAAAAAAAAAAAAAGTAAATTACAAAAAGGGAGCAACCCACTTCTGGTAAAAAGCCATCTACTTCACCGCAGTCAGGCTGCTTTGCTGAGTGACACACAGCAGGGGCTGTAAGGCTTCAACTGAGGCAAAATCCAGTTTTAAAATCAACAAATCAGTAAAGTGCCATTGCTTGAAGCCCCCCGAAATACGGCAGGAGAAGTTAGTACACTGAAGAGAGAACAAGCCCAACACATTAGTCACAGATGTATCGGTGACGGGTTTCAATGACCGGTTTGTACAGTGGAGGTTAAAATAGGATGCCTGCCTCTGGGTCCCCTGAAGCAGCCTGTTACAGCAGGGACCAAGGTATGGGACATGCCTCTCTACACTTGCAGTGTTCACGCTCTGGGCAGCAGTAAGAAGAGGAATTTACTTCATTGCACCAACACAATCAATCATCTCTTAAACTCTGCCAAGATCCCTGCATGCCTCTCTTTAGTTAAGGTTATTGATGTGGTGCTCTCAGCCCAAGCCAGCAGGGCAGAGGGAAAATAACTGTTAAAATGTCTTTACACATATTGTTACATTTTGCAAAAGTTGTCTTCTGAGAAGCAGAGGCTGCAGCGAAGGAATTAGCACCTCAGGCAGTCACCTCTTCCTTGCCATGACATTCAATCATATGCCTGCAACGCCCTAGCGTCCAGGACAGGTCTCTAAAGTACTTGCTGTTGCTTTTCACAAAGCTGGTTGTATAATGCCTGTTTTCCTTCTCATTGCTAAGTGCTAAATTGTTATCAGCCATCACTCCAAGCAGTTTAAACCCTTTCCCAGGAGTAGTTCTTCAGGAGTTAACTAGTTACAGAGCTGCTGCAATTGTTAACCATCTTCAGCTCTCTGCAGTTGAGTGAGATTCTCAAATATAACCAGCAACTAGCTGAGTCAAGTTGGTATATACAAAGGAAAGAGACAAGTTTTGAGGGGTAAAAGCATGAATAATTCCTTAGTTGGTTCTGTTTCCCCTGTGCATTACAAAGGACAACCTAGTATGTTTGCTCCAGGAATGTCTTTTAAATGATACAAAGAACTGCACAAGCAGTCATAGCAAGCCATTTTCTGACAAGGGTGGAGATGTATAGGCATACTGTCTGCTTGTATTCCTCCTGTAGTGATAATGAAATGCAATGCTATTCTTCACTGCATATACTACTTTCCATTACACCCATTCCCCCCTGCTAAATGTGTTGCCCACATCAGTGATTTTTGCTGATGAGTAAAGCATTTACAAAACATGTGTTTCTTTCCACTTATTTGATTTTAAGGTACAAAGGAAATAAAAGGGGAAAATGGGAAAGCAAAGTATTGGTATCTCCATTTTTGAGCTCAAGTTTGGGATTCCCTTGCTTGTTTTAAGCCCTGTTGGTCTGATTTTGTGATAGCTGCCAACAAGATGGGCCACACAGTGTGACAGTAAAATGTTATGAAATTATGAACTTGTGCCATAAGTATCTGACATGAATATATTTCTTCCAGTTCTCCATGACTGCTAATGTAGGAAGACACTGCCAACATGCAGCAGAGAGGTGTTAAAAGGCAGCTAAGGAGAGTAGGATCCACGATGCACCTCCATGAGGGCAGGTATCATTGCAAAACAGTCAAAATACCAGGGCATGCAAGAGTAGATCTGCCTTTCTCAGGGTGGTTATACAGGTATTTCATACATGAGTCCAAGGCAGAATGGTGAGAGCCACCTCTGACATACCATGTGGTTGTAAATTAGGCTCTGTCCCCAGGTTAAACTCCTCAGCAGCAAACTTCCTTAAAGGCCTCTATAGTTCTTTTATGTTTTAAGCAAAGACTAGAAAAACAGTGGGAAAGTTCAGAGACCTCCTTACTTTCACTAGAGCTAAGTAGGTATAGCAGTAACATTTAAAAGGCCCGCTGAAAGACATCCAAAAATGCTTCCAAGACAGCCTGTCTGACAGAAACAGCACTTCAAGTGAGCATGAGCAGACTGAAACAATAACTTCAGACAACAAGCTATCTGAAGGCTTTGCTGGACTGCAGCAAAAACAACTATGATGTCCCACGTTGAAGGGGTCGCATGAGGAGCTGAAGGGTATTGACATGTTGCCTATTGCCATTCCTACATATTGCCTGTGTGAACATGCATTTCCTCCCATTAATTAATCTCATTTGACAGAATGAAACCTTCAAGCATTGGAACAAGCTCTATAATTAGTATGACTACTAAATATTCGTCTGTCCATGCATAAATAACCCAGAAAATATTTTACTCTCTTACCACTAATGCCTCCAACCAAAAATGCAGCAGAGTATTTGTCTTTGTTTTATTATTGTACATCTGAGTCAGGTCTCTGAACTTCAGTTATGGCAGTGTGATGAGTCTGCCAGTACAATATTCCAAAATATTATGATAATGTTATATTCAAACAGTTGTAAAACACTGACATTTCTGCTAATGCCAAAATAAGCTGGGTGGATTTTCCTCAGTCTTTATCCTAACAGGAAATAATGGTTCTTGCTCCTTTTCGGTTAAGAACAGTTTTTTGTTTGTTTTGTTCGGAAGGAGGTTGGGAGGAGGGAGAGCAGCTCAGCTCTATCACAGGATTTCATTTATCCTATTTATTCTTCATATTGAAGTATAAGTGAGTGGCTGGGAAATATTTAGGCATTGCAGCTGACTTGCATGAGTGAGGCACGTTGGTTTTCAGATTTTTGTTGCAATTCCACTTGTTAGTTTTCACAGACATTCAAAGAATATTCTGAGTTGGAATGGACCCACAAAGTTCAGTTCTTAGGTTAATGGCCTCTATGGGGACTGAACCCATGACCTTGGCATTATAAGCACCTTGCTCTAACCAACTCAAGTCCTACTTTAACAGTAGTTTGCAAGTTAAATTTAACCTTTTTTTTTCTGCCCAAAATTAGACTTCAGGGCTTGATGGCAACTGACTCACACCATAGCTGCAGAGCCATTAGTACCACCATATGCAAGGGCTGGAAGGAAACTTAGCCAAGGGTTAAACTTAGCCAAGGTATAGCAATCAAAGACTTCTCTTTCTGGACTGGGTAGACTGTCCCAGACCTGGTGCTATTTCAAACTTTCTGCCAGCTCATTTAGGCCAAAGCCCAGTCTTGAAAATCCAGTTCTACCAAGGCATGCTAGAAGCAGCATGAGGTGACAAGCCTGGGTTCAGTAAGAATTGCAAAGAAAACCCAAACAACACCAAGCCCTCCCAAAAAAAGCAAGAGACAACATATAACTGGTACAGGAGCTAGGTCCCTGCACATCGACTGGCTGGCTATCCATCATGTCAGTTCAGGTTACCTCAGCTCTCTTACAGCTCCAGCTGTCCTAAGTGGCTCATAAAACCACTGTACCTTTCCTACCTTTGCTGTTTTGCTAATAACATCACAGTGAAAAAAAAACCCTTCATGGCTCTCAAAGAACAGCCAAGAAGGGTGCTGGCAGAGTCATTTATAAAGGTAACAGTGAGGAACCAGTTATGGACAAGTCAAGTATGGCACAAATTCTCCCTGAGACCAGGCAGACCATAGTCAGGTGCTGTGGAATAGATAGTATCCCTCACAGCACTCAGTCTTTCTGTGTTGAGTATGTCAAACTGTGAACATGGATGCAGTCCTCCAAGCTAAAGCAACAGCAACGGGAGCATACTCCAAAAATGGCATATATTTGGCCTTCAAAGGCAAGCAGTTAGTCTCAGAGTTCAATGAAGACAGTGTTTAGCTCAACAGAGTCACACAGCAAGCCTGTTTCTTCTACCCTCTCCCCCGATAATATCTCTTGTTCCAAAAAAAAGCAGAGATTGTCACTGTTCATGCAGCCTGTCTGAAACCGAGTGAAGTAAACTTGAAGTGTTTTCTTTCTGTCACAAGATTCCCTGAAATTCCCACAGAAGTATGAAGACATTCAGAAGAGAACCTACAATTAGTTGATCTCCTCTTTCTCCATCTGAATTGTATCAAGTTAGCCAATGTTATTCAGCTTGTGACATCTTAGTTGTCTTAGGCATATAGTGGTACAGGCCTGCTAAAGTCAGGTACTCTAATAAAATTGCATGGATAAAACTGGCAGAGAATCTTTCTCACATCTGAGTCCATGTCTGGGCCAATAAAACAAAATAAAAAATAGAAAATTTTAGAAGCCATCTACTGGAAGTGTTTAATGGGTAATTCCCAATACAGTCTGGGGAGGGATGAGTGTTATTAAGATGACTTTACCCTTGACAAGACAAAGAAAAAAGTATAATCACATTCTGCACATAACTAAATTCACACAAATCCAGCAACTGAAAGGTGAATGAGAAAA